TAAGTTTCTATCAGGTCAGATCCGGAATCCGTTGACCCACGTGTTTTCGCAATGTTCGGTTTTTTCACGGAACGTCTCTTAAATATTTTACCGTTGAAGCTCCTGGAAAAATGAGATACACTAGTATACCTTCTTTAACTACAACAACTAAACAACCAATATCGAATATGTCTTACTTGATTCGCTAACTTTCAATGATTTGATTAAATTACTTCCTACTTTACAAAAACGTTAAGTCATTTCGTATAGATTACCAATTATCTCATAACAATGAGTTTAATGAATAACAGAAAATGACAACTACAATATCATTGATGCTTGAGTGTACTTGATTACATCTCACTTTATCAAATGATATAATGTTTGAACATGTTGAATATATACTAAAATATACACCAAATATAAAGGATTTATTTTTGTGTGGTTGATCGCATTTATTAGATGCAAAAAAATGAAAATCGTTATTGTCAATATATTGTCCAAAATTATAAAAACTTGAATTTGTATGTACTGATTCTACTGGTGAGGATGACTTTTGAACAAGATTGTGCAAGCATACGATTTTAGATTAAACGAAATGTTAGAATTATCTATAACGAAGACTTTTCTGCACATCATTATCGTGATGATATTGTATTTAAATTTAATACTCAAAAAATCAATCATTACAAAAAACTTATTGTTAGTTTTTTGCTAGGGAATTCAGTTATAACTGTTTTCTCTTATTGTTTTCTTGTTAATCAATCTATTATCGTTTCTTTGGCTTGTATGCATAGCTGAAGATAAAAATCTTACAGCTATATTATATTTTTGTTATATTGGTAAAATAAAAAGGCATTTTATATATACAGTTTCGGAAAAATAATCTTTATTCTTTGTAGAAACGTTCTATCATCTTGAAAAGATCTTGTTATTGACAGTGATGTAAAATAACACGTCATTGTGAGGAATATAAACTCCTGCCTTCTTTAGTGTTCTGTATGTGATGAGAGATACCGTTTTTTGCATAATCGTCGTTCTTCTATTCTATTTTGGTCTTATATATTATCACACAACATTTCATACATTTGTGAATAATTAAAAATGAAATTTATTTTTATATTTCTAGTATCGATTATTGCTGTTGTAAGATAAGATGATGAAATACATGCTCATGCAGAGTTATATTTTGCAGGAACAAATGTTTTTATTGGAACAATTAACTTATATGAGTAGGAAGTAGATTGGGATGTTATTATGACTAGTTTTGTCAATTGTCTAAGATCTTTAGCGACATTAGTAAGTATATATTTTGAAGAATAAAGTACCAGTTCAATATCTTTCATTAAAGTGTAGCATTTTATTATGATTTTTTTGTAATTTTGACTTATTACGATTCAATCGGAGACAGTTAGTTTTTCAATGTAAACAAATACGATTTTCGGTAGTGAACTAATCTGAGCATCAATAGTCTTGAGATGATATTCTTTATAGGATCAATTCCTACTTATAGGGTTTTCATGTTCATTCGGAGTCCATTGAAAACAACAATAGTTGTACAGATGGTGGCGTTCATTTCAATCCATACAGTAAGTTTAGTTTACTATAATAGAGAGATAATCTTTACGCTTCACCTCTTATATTTAGATGTATCTCATGGGGTGCCAAGAGATTCTGTTCGACATGTTATTGATCTGAGCAATATTGAAGTAAATGCTAATGGTAAAGCGTATATTGGATTACGTAATGATATTATTTCGCTCGAATTCAGTTAGACAAGAACGGCTATTGATTTACCTCTCATGACTCACAATCTGACTGATGATGATGTCATTATGATTTTCCATTATTGTAACTATTTATCAATGTTTTTTGATAAAAATTTTTACTTCTCTTTGAAGTATTGTTGTCTAATTTGAAAGAATAGGGTATGGGTGGCAATTGATCATGATACTCTCATAGCCACATCCATCCACCCTCAACTAATGTAAAACTTCATAAACTCTGACGAATTAAAATAAAGTAGTTTCAATCTATAGACAAGTGAATATTATTGAAAAAAAGACTCTATTTAAGTTTTTGTAATGCTAATCGATAGTCACGACCTTTAAGTTCAATTAATTCTTGATGATTTCCATATTCAACAATTCTTCCATTATGTAAAACACAAATAATATCTGAATTTTGAATTGTTGATAAACGATGAGCAATTGTTATTGATGTTCGATTTATTTGAGCTTTATCTAATGCATCTTGAACGATTTTTTCATTTTCACTATCTAAAGCACTTGTTGCTAGAAATAAAAATAAATAATTTTCTAATTAATTATTTCTAATTAATACCTTCATCAAGTAAAAGAATCTTAGGATTTCTAAGTAATGCACGAGCAATTGTTATTCTTTGTTTTTCTCCACCTGATAATTGAGTTCCTTTTGCACCACAATTTGTTTCATAACCCTTTACAAGAAACAAGCAATTTAATTACAAAACAAAGGAATGTTTTCCTATAAATATACTTGTAGAAGTTGTTCAATAAATTGATGAATATTTGCATTTTTAGCTGCTTGAATAATCTCGTCAATTGGAATATTATCACGATTATTATCACCATAAGAAATATTTTCTCTAATAGACATATCAAATAAAATTGGTTCTTGAAAAACAATACCAACTAAATAAAAGAAAGAATTTTATTTGAAAAGAAAAAAATGAAAGAAATTAATTAATATACTTTGAGATCGATACCATTGTAAATTAAGATTTCGAATATCGTTTGAATCAATTAACTAATTAATATATAATAATCACTAAGAAAAATTTTAAGAAAAAAAGAGAACTTTACAGATGACCTTCGTTTATATCATAAAAACGTTCTATTAATTGAATAATTGTTGATTTTCCACAACCAGATGTACCTATATGTATTTATTTATTAATTGATTCATTTAGAAAAGAGAATAATTACCAACTAAAGCAATTTTTTGTCCAGATTTGATTTTTAAATTAAAACCTTTTAAAACTCTTAATTCAGGTCTAGTTGGATATATAAAATCAATTCCATTAAATTCTAATTCTCCACTAAAATTTTCCTATGTGAAAAAAAAAATATCAAATTTAAATATTTTATTTTAATATGATAACTTACAATTTGTTCACCATTATTTGATGTATTATCAATTAAAGATTTTCGATCTAATAAATCTAAAATTTTTTCTCCAGCATCTATTGCTTTATTATAATCCGGTGTTCTATTCAAACAATTAAATCTTAACTGAAACTTAAAAAAGAAATTCTTTACAAAGAAACTGTTAGACTAAGATTTTGTGCACTGAACATGACTCTATACATAACTCTAAATAAATAAAATTTATTTTGAAATAAAGAACTTCATATTCTTCTTACATTAAAACATCTTCAAATGAAATTTTATTTTTATCAATAAGATAAGCACCAACTATTAATAATGCAGCCATAGCAAAGAATGAAACAGAAGCTGTTATAGCATAAAAAAGTCCAAAAGCATGTGCTCGTTTTATTGATGATCTAAAATAAATTAAAATGTGAAACACGACCTAACTATTGTTTCTATCTTCAAGACGATTAATTTATATATTATAAGCTCACTTGATTAGCGTTTTAATAGTTGTTACAAAAGAAATTACTAACATATCTATCCTAAACAGTATGAGTCCGATGGTCATATCTATAATGCTATGGATATTAGAGAATAATACTCTGAGATAGACCATAATTCAAATATTACTAAGTGATCAATAGAGGGCATCAGTTAAAATACATGAACATTGGCCTTTGTTAATTTTTTGTGTTTTGTTCTTATTTTAGATCAGAAATAGTAGTGAGTGTAACTAACTATGATACTATATCGGTCACGTTTGTGAGTGTAAATTTCTACTCCTAAATACTTCAACATCTTTTAAATCGTGTTCCACAAATAGAACTGTTATTACCGATAAGGAATTTCTAGCACTTTCGAATATTCTTCATAAAAATAATCTTCTTTAGTTAATTGTACAACTATTCGAATATTTTGAATTGTTTCTACAGCGATCTAAATATAAAATTTAATTAAGTAAAAAAATAAAATAATAGAAAAACTAAAGACTTTTCCAGCATTTTCTAAAGCTTTTTCATCTTTACTTGCAAAACCAGTCATTAATCGACTTTGAAGAAAACCTGCTGCAATCATTAATGGAATAAAAGCCATAATAAGTAACGTTAATTACCAAGAAAATATAAAACCAATAATAAGACCACCAACAAATGAACAAAAACTTTGTAATAACATTCCAAGTCTAATTCCAGTCGCACCTTGAACAGCCGATGCTTCAGTTGATAAACGTGTACATAATGCACCTGTATTGTTATTTGGATCATCAAAATATGATATATCTTGACGAAGTAATGTTTCAAATGTTTTTATACGAAGACGTTTTGTTAATGCTTCACCAGAACAACCAAAGAAGAAACTCTTAAATTAATAAAATTTATCTTCTTTTTTTTTGTTTTAAATTTATTTACTTGAATAAATGTTGCTATGAAACGGATGATTCCAAATCCAATAAATAATAAATTATAAAGAAGAATTTTTCGATCTAGAGAATCTTTATCACATTCTTGAAAAACCTTATTTTTTTATTAGAAGAAATAAAAATCAATGTTATGATGGAAAAGAAAAGAAAACATACTGCAGTTAATTTACTCTGAATAATTCCCATTATGGGTTGTATAACACCATTACAAATGCATCCAATACATTCAAACAAAACAAATATCCATTCCGGTTTACTCATTCTTAACAATTGTAATGAAACATTTTTTCTTACTTTTTTCTTTTCCTTTATTCCTTCTAATTCTTTCTTTTGATTATTTTTAAGAGATTTTAATGATACATTACTCATTCTTCTTTGTTTATTTTCTTCTTCGGGAACAGAATTTGTTTATCTTATGTATTATATAAATTTTGTTTTTGAATAAGATTATAATAAACTGATTGATTATTCATTAATAATTCATGATTTCCTTCTTCAATTATTTCACCTTTTTGCATGACAATTGTTGTTTGACCTTATTTATTAATTTGAAATATAAAATCAAAGAATTAAAAATGAAATACCTTGAGATGCACGATCTAAAGCATCTTGAACTATTGTTTCACTTTCATATTCAAGTGCACTAGTAGCTAAATATAAAAATAATAAAAAAATTAACGAATAAAAACAATAAACTACCTTCATCAAGAAGTAAAATTTTTGGATCTCTAATTAGTGCACGAGCAATTGCTATTCTTTGTTTTTGTCCACCTGATAATGTCGCACCACGTTCACCTATTAAAGTATTATATTGATTGTAAAAAATAATTTTATGCGCATTCGCCGTTTTGGTTGCTTGATAAATTTCTTCATCGGTTGCTTTATCAAAGCCTAATAGAATATTTTCACGAATTGTTATTTGAAATAAAATTGGTTCTTGACTAACAACACCAAGATTTTGTCTTAACCATTTTAAATTATATTTATTTATTTCATTATCATCAATTAATATTGAACCAGAATTTAAATCATAAAATCTTTGTAATAATTGAATACATGTTGATTTACCTGAACCAGATGAACCGACTAATGCAATTGTTTCACCTTGTTTTACATTAAATGAAATATTTTTTAATATTTCAATATCAGAACGTGATGGATAAGAAAATGTAACATTTGAAAATTTAATATTACCAATTAAATCATTTTTTTTGATTTCTTCATCTAAATTATTATCAATTGTTGATGGCTAGTTAATAATAAATAAAAATAATTCATTCTTTTAAAAAAATAGATTTTACTTCATCAATAATAGTCCATACAAATGATGCAGCACTTCTAGCTTGAGCTAATGCTTGTAAATGTGGACTAGCTTGTCCCAAATCAAAAACAGATACTACCATTGTAATAAATACCTATAATATTAATAATGAGAAATTCTAAAAAACAGAAAATCTAAATTGAATTTAACTTACAATCATGACTTTTCCAATATCATAGTCTCCATGTTGAATTAATTTTGATCCATACCAGAAACCTTTTTTTTAAATAAATAAATTTTTTTCAAGTTTAATAGTAAATGAAATACCTAATGCATATGAACAATAAGCAATGAGCCAGTAAACACCCGTGCTCAAGCCATTAGCTGCACTTTTTCGTATTCCACGTTCTTTTGCTTCATTTAAATATTGTTTATACCTAACAAAAATATTTCTCTATTTGGATTCATTACAATATTTATTTACAAACCTTTTCTTTTCTCGTTCTTGTCCATTATAAGATAAAACAATACGAACTGAACTAAGCACTTCTTCAGCTACAGCACCTGCCTTACCATAAGCTTTTAATTCCATCAATGTTAAACTCGTTATAAGCTAATTATATAAACAAATATTTTTGTTTTTAAAAATACTTTTTTAATTAACTAACTTTGGACATTACTATAGTTGAAATAAATATTAATGATGCTACTGATAGAATAACTAAGGTTAATTTCCATCCTATATAAAAACCTAACAAAAAAAATATGATCTTTTAGTATTAATAAAGAAAAGAAAAAGAACAAACAAAGTGCAAAACCAGAAATAACTGAAGCAATATAGCGTGTTGCTAATGCAAATTTATCACCAATACCATCATGAATTTTATTAATATCATCTGTTAATCTTGTACTTAATTGACCAGTTTTATTCATATCAAAATAAATTATTCCTTTATTAACAATTGATCGAAATAATTTCTGACGAATGATTCGTGTTTGTCTTTCTGCTGCTATACTTGAAAATCATACAACAACCTTAGACGACTATATATAAAGATTGTTTTTGAATTTGATCTTTAAAATTTCTTGAGTTTGTTATATTTAAATCAGTTAAATTACATAATCTAAATTATATAATTTAGTTGCGCAAAAACAAAATTTTTTTCAAAAATATATATTTACGATGATGATATATAAAAATTTGTTGATGTTAATTGTACACCTGATGGACAATATTGAAGAGATATATTTGTTAAATTCCATGAACATAAGTCAAATGAACGATCAGTAAATGTATTAATAGCATTTCCAAATACAAGCATTAATAATGGAAATGAAGCACCATTAGCAGTAGCAGCTATAATCGATATTAATATTAAAATCAAATCAAACCACGTAGCATAACGAAACTAAATTTTAAATTGTATTTACAAAATAGTTTTTATTTATTTTTCTTACCAAACTTCGAAGGCTCATAGATTTAATCTCGTCTTTATCTTTTTTTTTCTATTTTAGAAAATAATCGTTGAAAAAGACTTGGGTGTGGGTGTGAGATAGAAACAACACCGACATCCACACCCATACACAAATTATCCTTGTCTTATCAGTAAAAATACATAGTATTTAAAAAAAGAGAAATAAAGATAGAAATCGATATAGGTTTTCGTCTGTCTTGAGTAAGTGAGAGGGCAATACATTCTTTTCTTTAATTAATAACAATATCAAAGAATATTTTTAAACTTTACTCAATCACAAGATATATGAAGTGGATGATCGAATTTACAGGGTTTAGCATATGACAGATCATAAAAGATCATATATTTCGAAATTTGAGATGTGAGTAAGAAAGATTTGTTGCATATCTTGATTGATAAACGGATGAAACAGAATGTGAAGAGTAATCATATAACATTTTTTATATTCAATGTGACTGATTTTGGTTATGTGATAATGAAGTTGATGAAAGCGAATTGTTCACCTTCAAAATTTTCTTTATTCCAGGATAATTGTGTATTTTCAAATGATACATCTAAAAATTCATATTTATCAATTGCTCAAGTTAGTGATGATTGTCTCTGTAGAATGTATTTAAAAAAAGAAAATGAAAATCCACAACCGAAATCAAAACGAAAAAATTTGTAGTTTATTGGTTTTTTAAAAACTATTTTTATTAAAGTGTTAGCATTAGATAAAATGTATTAGAGAATAAAATAAAATCTTTAGATGTCCCTTCAAGTACTGTGAGAAATAATTTAGCTGTAGGCTACAATTGTAATATTTGCAGCAGTTGTATCAGAACCATAGTTATTGTTTTGTCCCCATCCAATTTCGAATTGAACATAATCACCAACGTTCAAATAAATTTGACGAAAGATCAACATGCCTGAGTTTTGATTGATCCACAACGATCGAAGCTCAACATTATTAATGGACAAATGTACATCTGTGGTTGCATACCCATTTGGAGTACTAGGAAGTCCCGGTGAAAAGAATATACCTTCCACATCATAGAAGCCAGCTAACGGAACTGTAAAACGAAGACACGCATGAGCATTGTTAACGCCAGGATGAAATATTAATTGACCAGGTTTCAAGTAAAATCCGTTGCCGAGTTGCACATCTGTTTGACTATTTGAATTTATACCAACTAAGCCGTTATTAACGTAGTTCAGACCACCTAATGTAGTACTGGTACACCATACCGCAAATCCCGACATTGTTGCTTCTTGCAGATTGCTGAAGACTGGATTTCCATAAACGTTACCCACATATGATGAATATGGCTGAAAGCTTAGATGGTCAGTAGGTTGGGTGTAGCCAAAAGACCAGTGTGTATTAGAATTCTGAATATTAAAAGAATCATTTGGTCGATAAGATATCAATCTGGCAGCGTTGACAATAGTGACGAAGTTGCACAGCAGCAATATGAATTGATACATGTCGTCTCGATATAGACAAGTGAAACTTATTATATGATCTAAAGGTAAATTCTGTTATTTCTATCAGCTTAGCACTTTCGTTTCTTCAATTTCTTATTTTTCAATTATGTAACAAACACTTGCTTGCGTAGTCGATATACGATAGTTTTCTATTCAATCCGGTTAGTTTAACAAAATAGAAATGCCTTAAGTATTTTTCATCAATAGAATATATTAGCCATAAACTTTCGATCTATTTTTGGTGTGTGTTGATTGATAGCAAGAACGACATATTTAGAATTCGACTGATATCCCTAATTTCACAGAATATTTCACATTATCATACAACGCGGCTATTTTTAACTATAAATGCGTGAACAGAAAATAATTGATAGGAGATAACTAACTAATTTCTCACAGTATAATATTGATTCTCTATATGTTCTATTACTTTCTGCTCGAGATCATCGACATGTACTTTTTCTGTATTTCAAATGTTACCAAACATGTAGTAATGGTATATATCCTGGTGATATTAGTGAACAGAATGTATTTGTAACCAGGTGAGAACTGGTATCAGGACATAATCTGATAAAATTTATCAGTTCATTGACAGAATAATATCAAAATTGTGAAAAAATCTTTATTCTCCTCGTTAAGCATGATAGCTGAACATTTTAGAGAGATTTTACTGTTCAAAGCTTTCGCAAAAGTTTATACAATCATAAAATACATAATAAAAAGTTTTTGTTATGATGTCAGCCACTACACTCTCTTACGTATAGTCCACGTGCTTCAAGCAAATTGACATTCACGTCCTTTGCTTTTCTTACTTTCTGTACATGTGTGTTTATTGATGCGTAAACCTTCTTCCTCGATACTTCAATAATATTCACGTATCACACTAACGAAAAATGGCGATAAATGCTGCATTAGTTAGCTGTATGCATTTATAACACATTCTTTACACACAACATCAACGAATAAACACACACTATTTGTCTATTTTTTTTCTTCAGACCACTTCCGATTGTCAACTAGTTCGCTTACGATGAGTTTTATATTAATACATTTAGACTATATTTCTGCTTGCATGTATAATGCGGTTAAATAATGGTAAATCAGATTCGAAATATTAATTAAATAAAAAGTATTATTTCTGAAAAAGAACTTCTTATTCAATTTATTTACTTTTTATTTGAAAGAATATACATAGATATCCATTATGAGAACCTAGATTCACTATAAACTTAGAAAATTTTCCTAGAATCTATAGGAAGTGCAACCGTACTTATGTGATAGACACATACCAACGAAAGTCATTCAAACACAAACACGTCTGTTTTGAATTTAGCGTTCATTCAGTTAGGTCAATATGGGTATACTACAACTTTATCACGATTTTCCCCATATGTTTAATGCGAATATTATATTTATATTAAAGATCGTAATAAAAACTGAGCGTCTGAATGTGAATAGGTGAAAGACAGTAAAAGAATGGAAACGGATATCAACTGAATAGAATACCTCAACTTACACGTTTATACTTTTAAGCTTTACAACACTTAGTATACTTTTTTAACAAAAACTGCTCTATACATCATAGATTCACGTATCATTAAAAAGGAACTGGCATCAACATTATAACTCACCTGTTAATTATTGTAATGATGTTTGGAAATTAATGTGTGAAGATTTATATTCGAATATCAGAACCAGTTACGTCTGTTTATATAGCAAGTCTAGTGCCGAGTTTAGTGGTGTGACGAAAACAACATTCATGTAGCTGTTCTGTAAGCTCGGAACTACAAAATCATATAGGA